AGAGTTTATGTGGCAATTAAGCCGCAGACTTTGAGATGAAATTCGGCTGCGCCTTCTCTGAAGGGGTCGGATTTCTAACTCTGTAGGCTCAGCCAGCATCCTGAGGAATAACCGTGTGGTGTATCCTGACATGCATTTACATTGCAGATCTTCTGAGATGAAGCCAAAATAATCCCTAGTTTAGAAATAAAGATCCTTGCTGGAGCCAGGCAGGAAAATGTAAAGAAGAAAAGAAGGAAATCACGTTGGTGGAATGCTAGGAGCGTAGGAGCCTCTGGCTGCCATTCATACAGCTCCAGTGGCAGCCTCCGTGTCCCGTGTTCCTGCTGCCTTGAGGGGTCTTCTCTGCTCGGTCACCAGCCATCCTGTCCTCCCTGCTGGCACAGCCTCTCGTGTGGCTGCTGTGGGAAATGGACCATGGCTTTGGGCTGCTTTTAAAAAAATTTGGGAAAAACCTCTAAGGAATGGTTTAACCTGGTGTAAGGTGGGAATACAAAGCTGGGTGCCAAGAGTCAGGGATGTGCGAGAATCTTTAATGTGCATTGCTGCATTAGGCTCCCTCTCCTGAAATCCCACCCTCATTTTTTTTGTGTTGCTTTCCTGGCATTTTTTTTTTCCTTGGGTCCATTTTGCAGAGGGAGGGAATTGAAAATCCTGGTGACCTGCAAGCTGTCCGTGCCTCTGGCGGGGCCGCCTAAAGACGGTCTTGTCAAAGGACCGCGCGGTACCGCGATTCGCCTCCACGCCTGGAAAGGAACCAGGTCCCTCGCTGTCCGGGGCTGGTGACAAGGGACCTTTTCTGAACGTCAGCTCTGAGTCACGTAGGCAGGAGCAGCGTGGGAGAAACGCGTCCCGCTGCGGCGCACTGCTGCTGTCTGAGAGCACAGAGCCCGTCTCTGGGCTGTCACTCACCAGCGCAGGATCCATTGATCAAAATCACTAGGAATAACAAATTTGAGACTAAAATTAATTTCGTTTCCACTTTAAGGATTGTCAAATGTCACAGACTGGAAATTATTAATGTTTTAATGTCTATTGACTATTGATGAGTGGTGGTTCAGTAGGAGCCGGTTTAAAGACAAAGTAGGAAAAATAAAATCCCAAGATACCACACGGCAAAAGTAATATAATGGGAGAAAGTGTCGAAATTGTGCTGTACTGTAACAGACACGTTGGGTGCATCCCCTCAGGACCTGGCTAATCAGGATGGTAACTTGGAGGGCAGGTGATGGTTGGTATTGTAATTTCTTTTTTTCCCCATGTGATCCCAGTAGCAAATATCAGCTACTCCAGTCCCTTCCAGTAAATTTTCCTCCGCTGGGCTGCCTGTTGTGGCTGGAGGGATCTGGGTTCAAGGAGCATTGCTTTAGTGCTCTCCCATCAATGTTTAACACCACCAGCAGCTTTTTGCTGACTTTCTGAAGTGAGCGCGTCCATCTCGGAAGAGTTTGTTGTGTGGAAATTCATGAATCATAGAATCATGGAATGGTTTGGGTGGGAAGGGACCCCCAGAGGTCACCCAGCCCAACCCCCCTGCAGGAGCAGGGACACCTTGAACCAGATGAGGTTGCTCAGAGCCCCGTCCAACCTGGCCTGGAATGTTCCCAGGGATGGGGCCTCCACCCCCTCTCTGGGTCATGGGAAATGATGGTTTGTTTGAAAAAGTCAGAAGGACAAAAACTGTATGGCATCGGTCTTGCTGACCGTACTTCTGTTTAAGTAAACAAAATCGTTGTTGCTGTAAGCAAATGAGGCCAAATGCTAAACTTTAATTACATTCCATCACGATGCAATATTGCCTTCTGCAGTACGCTGCCTACCTGGTGCGAGGAGATGCTGCCCAAGTGGCTGGTCAAATGAGGCCAAATGCTAAACTTTAATTACATTTCCATCACGATGCAATGTTGCCTTCTGCAGTACGCTGCCTACCTGGCGCGAGGAGATGCTGCCCAAGTGGCTGGCGGTCCGGCGGGGGGGGAAACGGGGAGGT